AATACATGTCATACCCAAAAAGGAAGGTATGTCATGGTACCATGGCATACTGTTCATACCTTTAGTTTCCATTTATTTTTGTCTGCTACCAGACAAGTGTTGCCGTCCGCTGTGATTGACTAGAATATATATTTTTAAACTTTAGTTTTGCTGTTTTGTGGTGTTTCTGCGTGCTCACTCACCAAATGTGTTGCCAAAATAATGCACCGGCACTCCGGTTGCACCGACTTCCTGTATACGTCTTCCCAGAATTGCAACCGTGTCCTCGGGATCCCTATGTACAGGAAGATATCGTAGGAGCCTTCTACTAAGTACCGGTGGAGTTCTTGAGTGACCTGCGCGTGCAGGTTTACCGGAACTACAATGACGCTGGCCTTGTCTGCGAAGTTCCCCGTTGGTGTATTGAACTTGACGTTACCTGCCTGGATGTCAGTCGCGTCCGTCCAGGACGGCCTGTTGTGCACTCACCGAATATTCCCAGGAATTTGCTGTGTTGCGCGTAATATTCATGGTAGAATGTTCTTACCATGATTAACGCTACTGCCTGCAATGTTTTTCCCACACCGACCTGGTCCATCTGCAGGATCGGCTTTTCTTCCATCATCATCTGTACCATACGCAGAATGCCAACCAATTGGTGCCATCACGGCTGCAATGGTCTGGCTCTTTCCGCATCCGACATTGCCTTCCGGCCTTCTTCCGTCCAAGCGTCTGTCAATCCCGTTGTGTCCTCCATTTTGTTGAACAAGGGGAGGAGCTTCTCCTTGAGTCCGAGCTTCTCCCAGATTGCATCTTTGTTGAGTCCATCGAGCTCCTCCGTGCCTGTTTCCCAGTCAATTGTGCTGATTGCTGGTCCCAGATTGTTTTGCCTGATGTCTTCTTCTGTCACGTGCAAATCTGCAACGAGTCTTTGCAACTCGTCTGTCAGTGCTTGCACACGGCCTGCCGATGCTAGCTGCGCCAGTACGATGCGTAGTGCCCGTGGGAGCTCTGTTTGTGTTGTTAGCTACTGTTGAATATAAGTGTTTGAATAAACTTACTTGCGGCGTCTCCTCCTGCCGTAGTGTGTCCCAATCCTGTGAGAATGTCCTTTGCGCGATCTCAGAGCGCCTCTAATTTTGTCTTGCTCTCCATATCGCTGAATCATCCCAGTGTTTGAGCCAGTGACTTTGCTGCTGCGATGTATCTTCGCACCAGCTGGTAGTCTGGCTTTGCGTTGTCCCTGGATATTACTGTTCCATATTGTATTATTAGTTTTTCTACTGGTATTTTAATAGTTATAGCTGCTTACCTTCCCATTGTGCATCCAGAACCTTTGTTTGAGCTGGGATTTTATCTACCAGCCGCTTTGTCATTTTGCAGTATTGTGCCCAGATGTGTGTCATAATTGGTTCGATAAATTTGAGTACTCCCTGCTCAATGCGTCCATCTTCACGGAATGCTTCCATGCCAAATAGTTCCTCTGTCAGCGCATCGTTGTACCTGTACATTTGCGCTTCGCTCAGTTCCGGAAGCTAGTATTATAAATTATTAGTGTCATTGTATTCTGCTAGAGTACTGTGAACTTTACCGCCCGAGTGTCGTTCATCTTGAGAATGTCATGAATCCGGAATCCTGCGCTAGCCAAGATTTGGTCGATCTTCATGTTCATTTTGACTTGGCTCCAAGTTTTTGACACGTAGTCAATCCATGCCTTGCGTCCTTCCTGATCGTTGTCGTTCCTCCGTTTGTTGATGTAGTCATGCTGGTTGTTAGATCTCACATAGTTTCAACAAATGCCTTTACCGAGTTGTATACCTTGTTTGTCCAGCCTTCTGGCTTGAACTGTTGCATGGGCTCTGCGTAGGGGGGGCCTTCGATTGTCTTCATTGTGTTTTTCCACTCCGACCATGTCCATAATCTATCCTTAATCTCTAGATAGAGATTAAGGACCGCTCCCACGATTGGGAGGGTCGGCATATTATTGCTGTTGTTGCTGTTGTTGTTGTTGCTGGTATTGTCGCTGTTACCTATACTCTCGAGAGAGCGCGTTGCTCATATCTTTCATTTTTCCCCTTCTTTTATCCTCGTTTCCAATCATTATCTGATTTTTAAATCACCTCATGTTTACCGCCTGTCATCAAGATAATTGTCTTGATGACAGCCTGTTGATGGCCATCCAAGACGGCCGTGCACACACTCCTTGTTTTATCTATTTTGTTATGGCATGATCAGCGCATTCTGATGCTTTAATCAACTACGCGCTCCACTGGTCTAGACTTTCCATTCATTCTTTTTGTTATATATGCCTCATGTATAACGCTCCTGATCCACGCATATAATGCATGTTTGTCTTCTTTGATTATCAATTTTCATCGATAATAATCATTATAATTTCTTGTTCTATTTATTTTGTCATACATTCTTTTGTATCTTACTAATATCTGTATATTCCACCCACCAACGTCGCAATGTGCTCTCTCATTTGATGAACCTGTTTAACTACGTCAAGCTTTCATATTCAGAGTTATTCTTATCAGGATATGTGTCAACATTTATATTAGCGACACTAGTTCACGTTTTGGCCTTCCTGGACAGATGCTCTGTACACTCTGAATTAAGTGCCCAACATTGTATTATAATAGTAGCTATCTCTTCTACGTCGTATTCAATGTAGTGCTAATTTGATGGTTGCATGCACAGTATACAAGTGGCCGTCCTAGACGGCTGCGCATGTAATGTGCCATATAGCGCTCAACGATGGGCGCATGCTCAGTACAGGCATGGCCGTCCAAGACGGCTACACTCGCACTGCAACCCAGTTTGGCCACAAGTGCTACATTGCACAGTGCCAGTGTGGCCGTCCAAGACGGCCGTGCCTGTATTACATCTTATTGCTTTCTTTAATGCACTCACTATCCATTCTCTATATGTAGTAGTCTAAGATATACATACACTGACTTTAGTCTTTAATTAGCATACTATCCTGCTTCTATAACTCATCACCATGTATTCGACTTTTTATTATTATTCCCTTTCTCACTTCTTACTTATCCTACCACACTCCTCTAATATAGCTGTTTAACAATCTTTTCTTGACCGCAAGATAAGCTTGCTCTATCACCAATAGCCGTTCAGGATGGGCATCCTCCGCATTCAGTCCTGCATAACCATTTTATTATACTTCTACTACTCAACACAAGTGCTTGACTTTTTCTTTCTTTACTTGATCATATATTTCATTTATTCTATCATGTCCTCATTTGTTACTATCATTAGCACCCATCTTTAATATATGCAAGCTCCCCTTATCTTGTCTGTTACTATCGTTAACACCCATATTTAATCTATGCAACCTCATCTTGTCAGCTATGGCCGTCCAGGATGGCCGCTCACACGCTCTGCATTTAAGCACTCTGCTCCTCTTGTTCGTGATGGCCATCCCGGATGGCCTTACACGCTCTCACCATGCATGCTTGTCACGCACACATGGCCATCCTAGATGGCCATCTCATCCTCCTATATTGTACGTACGTGTGTATGTCCCTATGTACAGCATAGTGTACCTAGGGATTTAGGTGGGTACACACGTGTCCCTACATACAGGATAGTGTACCTAGGGACATAGGTGTGTGTGTTTCTAGGTACAGGATGGTATACCTAGGGCCTAGGTGATATACAGCACACCTAGGTACATAGGTATATAGCCCTGGGTTGTTAGGTTTTTCTGACCCTACTGACCCTACAACATCTCATAGCAGTACCCTTTTGTCAGTAGTAGTCTTAAGTGGAACTCCTGATCCTCAGCCATCAGGTCCCTTAACAACTGACCCTACAATGTCTCATAAACAGTAAAAAAAATTAAAAAGCATTAAAAACACATTGCATTGCATTGCATTTTTTACATTTTTGCATTGTTTACAAAAAGCACAAAAAAAGTGTGAAAAAGCAAAACAGGTGTTGAAAGTAAAAAATTGAAAAAAGCATTAAAAACACATTACATCCCTTTTTTTTTTTGCTTTTTTGCTTTGTTCATAAAAAAACACAAAAAAAGTGCAAAAAAGCCAAGTGTATGTTTTCCTGATGTGAAACCAGAGAACATCCAGCTAGACTTACATTTGAATTACACTACTACACACTATGTATACAAGTCAGACAGGTATATGACATTGAACCAAATCAAATCCATGTGAGGCTAACCATCTTCCGGGGTCCCAAGAGACGTTGCTGTGACATGAGAACTTGCTCGAACGTGAATTTTATGGACTGTCAATTTGCTTATGTCAGATCATCGGGCAACCGTTAATTTGGCCAATGTTATCCTCTTCGAATACCCGGTGAAGCTTGAGCCTATCCAACTTTCGGAGACCTAGATCAGGGATCTTCTCCCATCATCAGGGGTCCTAGCTTATCTCACATATTCACAAAAACCCTGCAAATAATGGCGACTCTTTTGTTGGGATACGAAATTTGTTGAAAACTTTGTTTTATATCCTACAGAAGTCCTCAATCGTGCGTGGAACCCAAGAGGCCGGATCCAACTTGGGCGCCCTTTCGCGTCTGAATCCGATAGCGCACGCAAATTGGAATATAGTATGTAGTAAGATATTGACTAATACTGATATGAGGATACTTCTAGGGCCGCGTAGCGTGGTTCGCCTGGCATCAACGGTCAGGCGCACGGCGTCAACTTCAGGGTTGGGGACATGGTGATATCAGCGCACAACTGCTTTGAGGTCAAGTGGTAGCTATGAGTGGCATTTCGCCAGCATGCCTTACTTCTATCAAGACGCCAGTGTTCACTGCTGATGATTTCTACAATCCGAAGTTAGAGCCCCATGATCAGCGCCCACTGTCCTGGCTGAGTTGGTCGCGGCCAGAAGCAACTTCTCCCTTATCGCTGTTGCCTTCATCCTCCAACTCATCCGCAGCCCATCTGATGCACAGTGCACGACACACCTCTCCGCATACAGTTTGGCTCCCCACTGCCTCTCTCATGCTTACGCTGACCATACACCGCCAGCACCAGGGCTCGATGTGGTCACCTATCATTCTGCGGACTTCAACGGATCCTTCCGCTTCCCGGTATTGTGGCGCACCAAGCCCCGCCCTCAATGAAGCATGAAAGTACATTACCATGAAACGCGCATGTGCTGCTCTCCTTATCTCCACTCTGCAGCTCACTATTTTGTAGCGGAGGTGCTCCGTATCTCCCTAGAAGACATGAATCAGGCATAGCTTTGTTAGATTAAAGTTCCTCGCTGGATGACTCATGACCCATGAGTCCGGATCCACCTAGCTCGCTTCAGTCCCTTTCCATACAGCCATCAACTCATCGTAGAGCTTCAGATGCAAAGAAGTGCGAACAATCAAAAATTCTGCAGCGAAGTTTCATTGCATCTCTACTAGTATCATATCAATATCCTTGTTATTCTTGCATTCTCGGATGACCTAGTCTATGGTCGACATGATACAGCATACATTCAGGCTAGCATCACCAACAATATCGTACACGGGCGCTCGGCACGTTTCAGTCTGTCGCGTTGGGCAAAGAATCGCTCATCCCGCTGGGAGTGAGCACGCCATTCAGATCGACGTCCGCAATGGAGAGCTCGCCTTCCCCGCCCATCCTCGTGGCCTGGATGCGCTCAAGAGGGACACGCATGCGGTGAGCGCGCTGCCACTCTTGGATCTTCGCAAAGTTGCGGCACTGGTGCACGGTGTTGAAGTTGGGGAAGGGCTTGGGGACGCCGGCGACCCAGTCGTACGTGATGAGCGCGGTGTCGGCATAGCACATCAGGTTCTGGCGCAGCATCTCGAGACAGTGGTCTGTGTGCGCAATCAGCTCTCAGTGGGAGACAGGAGCGAATGTGGACGCGGGCCGCACCTAGATGGTCACGAAAGAAGCGGGGTCGTATGGATATGTCGCGCTGTATCTCGGGGTAATGCTCGACATAGGAGTACTGACGGAGCATGTTCTGCGTACTAGGGATTAGCGGCGTACATGGAGACGAGACTGGGATACGCACAACACAGTGCAAATGGTGGAACACGTCGATGGTGCCCATGCTGCCGCCACCATCTTCAGGAAGGAACCGGACTTTGGATTGCCGACGGGCATTGTCGAGCTCGGTGCGGGCCAGGTAGTCGTCTGGGACCCGGATCGGGATCACTGTGTGCAGGTCAGAGAGCACAGGTACAGTGAGGAAGAGCACACACAGCCTATTTTATTGGTCATTGTGATCTTTTCCCAGGCAGCATCGGCAGCAGGACCGAAGCCGACGTAAGGCGAATGAAAGCCGAGGGTACCATTGAAGCGTACGATATTGTACTCGACGGCGGGGTAGACAGGAGCTGCAGCGCAGGTTAGCGACAGTGTCACAGTCCGCACACATGGAGACGCACAGTGAGCGTTGAGGAGGTCGTCCCAGTCGGTGCGTTCGGGGCGGTGAGTGTAGGTACGAAGGAGAAGTGTAAACACAATGATGTTGAGGAAGAGCACCAAGACGTGAAGGATCCAGGGCCAGAAACGGCGCAAACCTGAGGGGCGATGACAGCCGCACGCACAAGCACCATTGTCGCCGACATCCGCGCTTCCGGGCTGGGTGAGAAGCTTCTCGGAGGAGTCATAGAGGTCGCCTTGGGCGATGGGTGAATACTGTGCTGCAGACGGCGGGGACATTTTGTGCGGGTGCGTTGGAGGACGGACTGATTTCGAGAGGCGGGGCCTCGTTCTGGGGCTGCTGAGCGTTATGAGATCCGTCAACTAACAAGTGAATAGTAGTATCTCCCTTCTGAGTTTTACAATGGCCATAGTATCTGGACCTGCCTAGGCGCACAATACCCTGAATGTGTCGGACCCAAGTGGAGAACTGATGAGTGAGTGTGAGCGTCAGGCATATCAGATGATGTCGTTTGAACAAGGCTTGAATCAAATTCAAGGATTGTGGCGCTTTTCCCAATGTCCCTCCTGATGGAGGATAGACTCCAAAATCAAAATAAAATTCCAACAATGGGCACTTCCTTCCCAATCGCACCTAGCACCGTGGCCCAAAATACACCGACCTTCTAGGGGGATAGCGGACCTAGTGACTAATCCGCTGTATTGAAGGAAGCCTTGCCTCGTCGAGCGCCGTGGAGAATGCATCTGAAGGCGCACATATTCGCGTTTGTGTTCGTGAGGTCATGCGTAAACTGCACTCGAATTTGCTTTCACTCGCCGTCCGCTTCAGGGCACTTGCACCGTCTCCTTGTCTTCGACGATAGGCATTCTTCCCTCGACATATATAAGCCTGCCTTGGTACTTTCCAACCCCTCAGCATTCTACTGGCCCATCTACCTCATTCATCATGCGCCTCTCTCTCACCTTCGCTGCCCTCTTGCCTCTCGTCGTCTTCGCCATCCCCATCGCACGTAAGTCGCTCCCTCTCTCCATACGGCATCCCTGACCATCCGCATCTTGCAGACCCCCGCTCCTCCACATACGAAAAAGACCTTGACCGACGCGGCCCGGGTGCGTCCTAATCTGTGCTATCCTGTCCGCATCCTTCGTTGATGCGCCTCGCCTTTAGACGACACTTACACCGAGGAAATAGCTAAATATATATACGACCGCCGTGATGCAGGGTACACCGACAGGTCCCCCATACCCTACAACCGCCGTGAAGAAGGGTACACCGACGAGTCCCCCATACCCTACAACCGCCGCGACGGATACACCGACGAAATAGCTAAATATATATACGACCGCCGCGATGAAGGGTACACTGACGAATCCCCCATACCCTACAACCGCCGTGACGGATACACCGACGAAATAGCTAGATATATATATGACCGTCGTGATGTTGGTCATACCGACGAGTCCCCCGTACTCTACAACCGCCCTGACGGATACACCGACGAAATAACTACATATGCCCGTCGCGGTAATTAGGTCACTTCTTCCTGCCCCCACGATGCGCTGACTGGCTATACCAGGGGAGGCGTACATCGACGCGACCGACTGAGTGCGCTAATCGTTCGCGCCACCTTACGCTGAACTGCGTATCGTCGTTGCTGTTGTCCCAGTATAGACTCCTTGTCGTGCGTTTCTCGTGCCATGAGCTTCTCTTCAACAATTTAGTACACCGCGCATCACGTTTTTGACCGCACAAAATGCTTTGTAAAATTACCTCCACTTGTCTTACATCTTTTCATGACTGAACAAATATATTCTCTTGTCGTCTCATTGCTCATTGTTGCTGCGTGGCTGCTTGTGGTCTGCAGCAGGAATGGCAAGGTATTATGAGGATCGCTGATGAACTTCTTCGCGTCTTTACATTTATGAGATATAAGAACCATGGTTGCAGCAAAGGCGGTGTAGAGGTTTTTGGGTTCGCCTTCTTCGCCTGCAGATGTAGCGCACAATAATCTGGGCGTGAGGTTGACCACTTGGACTTGACCATGAAAGAGCGCAACACCTCCAACGCATGACATCAACTCCGAAAAGATACAGAGATATTTTACATGTACTAAGGATAGTTAGATCAAGGCATGGCGCCCGCCAGCCCTCGAGGACCGGGGAGTGGTCTGCTCCCTTCCGGGCTGGATGCGTGAAACGGCTGGCAAGCTCAGCGAGCGGAATATTTCGTTGATCAGATGCCTCATTTTTACATAGCGAATGGCCAACGCTACAACGTGGTCGCCCAGAACAGAACCGTCTGGCCGGACCGTGCGGACGGACCACGGCCAGGAGGGGGGAACACTCGTACTGTGAAGATTTTGTCAAAAGCAATTGTGCCAGCAGTGCTCCCTTCGTCCCCGCTGTCGTAAGAACGCAAAATACTCTCCACAAGCTTGTTGACAGCCGGTGCATAGCTGTTCCGTTTTCATCTTCCCCAAGCCCGGGACATTGACGTTGCGACGAGAAACTAGTAGAGGAGAGAAGCAGAATATGGCCATATCGCGAGCAGGGCGTCGTCCAGGATCCTCTCGTCTGACTGCACCCAATGAGAGCAGTAAGCGGGCGATCTCTGATGGTGCTATGGTCGCAATTGGAGTGCATTTGATCTTCAAGACGCAACTATCCTCGCGAGGGCGTTTTGGCCCTCACGTGCACGAGTGGGATCAGCGAAGTCTACGATACATAGCCTGGACAGCTCAGACTCACATTTTCAGGCTGTAATGTAATACAAATCGCGGGAAAATGGCAAGTGTGACAAGAGCACGAAATATTTCGTACTGATAACCACTTTGAACCATTCACACCAACCGCCTGGACGTGTGAAACCAAGCTAGTAATGGTGACTAGATATAGTGGCTGATGCGCTCCTTTCCGTATCCGCCAAGGCACGGGGCAGCCTCAAGCGCTCAGGCCATGCCGAAGTTGCCACGGTCACAGTCGTCAACTTGCGCCGGTGATTGGCACATTACTGCGGGCAGCTAACATCATAAACAGCAGCACAGCGCGAGAACAGAGCATAGTCTGAGGGAAGAGATAATAGTGGAAGAAGAAAAAGTGAACGGGATTTACAAGCACGATTGCGGGAAGGTGGAGAGACTAGTGAAAGAGGAGAGGGAAGAGACTCAAGAGGGTATATATGCACTGAAAGCAAGGTCAGAGGTGCATCGCGATGCTCAGCGCTCAGCCATCGCTCGGAAGCTTCGTGCTAACGAGTGAGAACGCTGGGTCGACATGGAACCCACGTTCAATCAGATAAATCCTTACCACAGTCTATTAACCACCACGAGACTCGCCTCCAAAACGCACGTAATCAACGACGAGTTGTACTCCTCCCAGTGTCCGATGCAATCCAATCCATCACGAAAAACTACACGAAACGATATCCGCCGCGGTAGCTGAAGAGCCCCAAATTTCCGTACTAGTACGGCGCGTGTCCTGCTATGCTGAAGGCAATGTCTGCGTCATGGGGAATCGGATAGTTCAAGCAAATCGCACTTACATTGCAGGCGGGCGGCCATACCTGCCTTAAGAGTTCACGCGATGCGCTTCGAGGTAAAACATGACTATAATACAGACAGTGCGGTAGATGATGTGACTAGTGTAGTATGCACACACACCGAGACGGGGCGCGCAAAAGGATAGTGAAGGTCGTCGGCGTCGTTACTCATACAGCTCGGGAACGGGGCATATAGCATACAAGGATAGGCTGAAGTACTGCATCACGCGTAGCACACAATGCAAGGCGGACGTGCCTCATACTTTTGCGTCCTCGGAGCGTACGGACTTGCTCTCGCTCACGCCTTGGTCGAACGCTACATAATGCAAGGTCAGCACGCGCAGCAGGGGAGAACCGGACAGAGACACACCTTTTTCGCGCTTCCGGATGTCCGCCTCGCGCTGATCGGCCTGCACCGACCCAAAGATAACGTCCATCTCCTCCAGCGAGCGGCCCTTCGTCTCCGGAATCAGCCTGAACGTCATTGGCGCGTGAGCAAGCGAGCAATGACAATGACGAAACGCGCGCGTGGACTCACAGCGAAAAGACCGCCATACCGCCGATGTTGATCGTCGCAAACATGAGGAAGATCTTGTATCCAAGGTCCGTCACGAGATTTGGCGTGATCTTCGAAAGCACAAAATCTGTGAGGGGCTCAGTGACGCATGCGGAGCGATGGGGGCAGAGACAACACACTAAAGAGCCACTGGGCGGCACTGGCGGTAGCAAGCCCGTAATGCCGTGTGCGTGTGGGGAAGATATCCGCAACGTATACCCACGGAAGGGGGCCCCAGCCGAGCGAGTAGAAGCAGACGTAGAGGTAGAGCATCGCAGCCATCGCCTTGGACGCGGGTGGCGGATTGCCCGAGACGGTCACGGGCGGGGGGAAGGACTTGAGCAGCGCGCCAATGATGTAGAACAGAATACCCATGCCCATCGCGGAGATGAAGAGCAGGCGCTTTCGTCCGAGCGTGTCTGCTAGGAAGAACACGAAAATTGTCGTGGTGACGACCTTGACGATGCCATAAATACCCGATGCAAGCAGCGAGTTTGACGTGCCCGTGTACCCAATCTAGATGAGCTGGAATCAGAGATGAGACTATGAACAAGAGCCGACGGCACTCACCGATTGGAAGATCTGAGGAGCGTAGTATCCGACCGAGTTCTGGCCGCTCCATTGCTGGAGGGTGAAGATGGCGATGGCAATAATGAAGCGGATAAAGTTGCCCTTGCCGAAGAACGCCTCCTTTAGACCGAGTCCGTTCCGAGCTGCGCGCTCCTCGTGGATGGCAGCCTCGATCTCAGCGAGTTCCGCGCGGATGTCAACGTCGTCAGGATCACAGCGGCGGAGGTACGCAAGGTTGAGAGCGGCTTCCTCGAGGCGATCCTTGGACGCAAGCCAACGGGGCGACTCTTTGACGGTAAGGAGACCGAGGGCCATGATACCCGCCGGGACGAGCTGGAAACCAAAGGGGATGCGCCAGACGTTGGAGCCGGTTGGCATGTGCAGACTGATTCCCACTGTGAGCAGAAAGTAGAGTAAGCGTAACAGGCGGGAGGGGACGGTGGGGAGGACTCACGGTTGATGAAGTACGAGAGCATGACACCGATGGCAACCATGATTTGGAAGAAGCCGGTGATACGGCCACGGACGTCCTTGGGGCAACATTCGGAGACGTAGGCAGGAGCGACTGCAGAGATGGCGCCGATGCCAACACCGGCGACGACACGCCCGCCGTAGATGTAGCCGATCCCACGAGATCCGCCAGCGATGGTTTGGAGGATCTGTGAGGCGTGAGGGAGCGGGAGACGGAGTAGAGGCGGGGAAAACTCACGGCACCGACGGCAAAGATAATGGTAAACGAGAATAGCGTCCATTTGCGGCCGATCATAGCTGGGACGCGTGAGCGAGGAAGCAGGTGTTGGGGGTGTGGCGTACTCACCCGATATGGGGGCACTGCCGAGGGCACCGAAGAAAGCTCCTGCTTGGAGGACGGAGACGACGTTGGAGGAGACTGCGTCCGACTTTGCAGTGTTGACGGAGCCATCGGCATTGACGAGGCCAAAGTGCTGCTTGAAGTAAGTCGCGGAGACGACACCGCCGCCAACACCGCTGTGAGAGCGCGTCAGAATATGTACGAATGCTCCGAGAGAGTGCGCACGTGTCGTAACCAAAGAGGACGATGCCCCAGTACGCGATAAAGGCGAGCCCTGGCGGGGGAGAATTTTTTTTTAAAACGGAGTACGGGGTGAGAGGGGAGATAAAATACACACAGTACACTCTGATGTTTCTGAACCGTCGTTGGTCTGACGCACCCATTGTGTTGTCGGGGAATGCAGTCTGGCGGAGGAGAGAGGGGACACGGAAGACGACCCTGGGGACGAGCTGACCGCCCTCGGGTCTTATACTTCGTCGCGCGCTTGCCCCACCCCCACGGGCCGTCTGATCGAGATTGCGGGGAAGTCACCGCCAGGCATGGGCTGCCCACCCCGGCCCGCCCGGCCCGCAGCCGGGCCCGCACTCTCG